GCGTGCAATTCATTGACAACAAAATGGCTTAGAGGAACAATAAGCTTTGCTACAAAGGCTGCAATATTCTTGTTTCTCGGAATTTGAATTCAATGCACCATTCAACAGCACATCAAAGGTTTTTAGAGGAAGGGAAGGAAGGGCTTCTGAAACACGGGAAAGTAAACGGACTCAAAATTCAACCATAGTACGTTGCTGATATAAATGTGGAACGCTACACGTGTGAGAAAATTGTAATTGCTGAATCGTTTCAGATGAATCAGATACGGAGGAGAGGGACTGAACCCCTGCCGCCTAAAATATCCCCTAATTGGACATCCCTGGTCGCAATCTATTATATATAGCTGATAAATACCTGTTTCTCTTTGGGATTCACCTAAACACTAATTATGTGGGATCAGGAAGATTGTTTGGAAGTATTCAATCCTTCTGGATCGATTAACAGAAACGTAAGAAGTTACCCAAAAGATATCTGAAAATGAGGTTCAGCTCTGAAGTCACTTAAAAGCACACAACGTTACACTTGCACGAACACATCCGTGTGAATTAAAAGTTTGGTTCTGATGGATACTAAATTTAGCAAAATCCAAACTGCGGAAATTACCTCCAAAAATTTGATTCCCCATGATATGGTTCCCCGACAGCCTTCAGGGAGAACAATATTCGAAACTAATGATAGAATGGCTACTACATGTGCTGACGATGGTAAATTTCAGAATTACGGGGTGTTTTTCGGGTTTAAAAACCGAGCAAAAGAGTACTGGAAGATCAAAGAAGAAATTTGTATCTGAACACAAGCTGATCTATCCCACTAAGTACTACTACACCACGAACAGCGAATCCACAGAGCTGTATACAAGAGTGCAAGGAGGGTTCAGAGAAAGGGGTCGTGACGTAGTTGAGAATCTGAACGCATAGAATGCAAGTCTAATTGCACTAATTCCATGGAGCCGAGTCCTTCTTGAGAAGCCACCAGACGCTCAGCTACTCAAGAATTTTCAAATATCTTATTAAATCTGAAGGCTCCATGCTCGCAAGAGCACACCACTGGTCCCTATCCCGAGCCAGATGATCCTGTCCATAACACCTCATCCTATTTCTCTAAGATGCATTTTAATATTATCATCCTACCTATGTTCAGGTCTTCATACCGGTCTTCCTGGCTATCCCACCAAAAACCTGTATGCATTCCTCGGCGCCCCATGCATGCTACATGGTCTACCAATCTTATCCTCTTTGACTTGATATTTGGCGAAGAGTACAAGTTATTAAACCTCTTATTGCTCAGTTTCCTCCAGGCTCCTATCACTTCATCCTTCTTCCTTCCACACATTTACAAAAATAAAGGGAGGCTCGATTAATCGCCGGACTAAAGCAATGCCCTACACTGACTGTCATCGAAACTGCATGTTTCGGAAGCACCGACTGTTCATCTAACGGTTCTGATTTCGGTGATACTTTATTATAAGTGTTACACGTGATATTTGTCTGCGATAAATAGAATCAAATTAACTTCGTTAATTAATAATAAATATTTTCCAATTCAACCAGACTTGCTCAGCTGATTTTTGTTAGAACAGCTGAAGTGTGCGCGTGCATATGAAGCCTGTATGTATGTATGTATCTTCTTCTTCCTCTTCTGCAAATTCAAGGAATAAGTCATGACCTGTTGCAAGATTACAGGAACTGTGCCCATCTCCTTCATGGATGTCCAATATCCTGTCTTCTAACAGAGTGATAAAGTAAGTTGGCCATAGTAAACGTCCAGGAAGCATTCTTCTACATCACTACGTCATTTCCTTTGGTATTCTTGTATTTCTCCCACCACTCTTTTCTTTCCTAACTGTTTCCATATCAAAGTGCTCCACATTTCATCCCTCTGTGAGACACTTAACCTAAATTCGTACGCTTCTATTCTCCCCCAATCTTCTTCTAGTACTCATGTTTCACTGCCATATTGTGGGGCTGGTTTAGCAATAACATTATGCGTTCTCAATTTCTCCTCCTTCCTTATGTTCTTCTCAAAATATATTTTAATACAAATTTAATTTGTTATATTTTTAACATTACCTTCTAAGCACATATTCTTTTTGTATAGTTACATAATGCATCTAAGAAATAAAGTAAAAAAAGTAAAGCTATCCCTGTAACAGGCCGTGGAGGCCCATAGGGTTGTGAGATGTTGAGGTTCCCACATTTTCTAGACAATCGGCTCATAGATGGCGGTAAGGTTGTCAGTCCTACACGCCGGCCGCCCTTTACACTCAAGAATATTCCTAGTACTCATTTCTGTTAGAGGCTGAGTCGACGCCAGGGCCATAGTGCCGCTGAAAGGATTAGGTCAATTGAAAAAATTTAATGACCTCATCGGGACTTGAACCCCCGACCTTCCGGCTTGAAGCATACTGCCTCAACCAACTACGCTACCGCGTGCCCCCACATACTGCATCTAAAATATTTAAATATGTTCGCTTGTTAATTATATTTCACCTGTAACTATCTTTTTTTATTGCTTGTGGGGTGGGACTAAGTCCCTTCTACTGCGGCCACTCCTGGCCTATTGTACCAGCCGCAGATGATAGGTGAGGGTGATTGTGGAGCAATTGGTGGAATGAAGATTGGCAGGGAAAACCGAAGTACTCGGAGAAAACCTGTTCCAGCGCCACTTTGTCCACAACACATCCCACCTGACCAGACCCGGGATCGAACCCGGGCCGCCGCGGTGGAAAGCCAGCGACTGACCGCTTGTGCCATTGCGCGGCCCCCTTCTTCATTTGCTAACATCTCTTTGTAGTATTATTTCCACTCTTCCTCAGAGATCAGAGCAACACCTGTTCTGTAAGCAGTTTCACTTGTTATATTTTTAAACACCATCAAATAAAACTTTTGTCCTAATATTTCTATTTGATTCTTAAAGTAACGGAATCTTAAACTTTTTGAGAAGAGCTGACTTTACTGTTTGTGATTTCTTCAGGTAATCTTATTTTCGAACATAGCAAGCAACGATCTGCATCAAACTCAACCCCTTCACTGCTTCGTGTGTGTCAGACATACAGCTACATTTTTATTTGTTATTATTATAATCAATATTGGACCTAGTTCCTCTGTCAGCCCAGGAATATGTATAAAAATCTCCCAATTGTTGCCAGTTGGCATCTATTATTCTTTCTCTGTGAGGTGATATTAGTTCTGGTATTACTGCATCATGAACCCTTGCATTTATATTAACTGCAACCATAATAGTCATTTTCTTCCTGCCTCATGTATGTTTCCTTGAAGCTGTGGCACAACACTATTTCCTCAGATTTCCCTTCGACTGGAGCATATACTCCTGTAATACAGCAATGCGATTTTTCTGTAAATATCCTCTCACTCAATCAGGAATATCTGTAAAAAGTAAAAGTAAAGTAAAGCTATCCAGGCCGTGAAGGCCCATAGGGTTGTGAGACGTTAAGGGTCCCACATTATCTAGAAAATCGGCTCAAAGATGACGGTAAGGTTGTCAGCCTTACGCGCCGGCCGCGCTTTACTCCCCAGGAAAATTATTTAATTAATTCCTGGTTCTCATTTCTGTTAGAGGCTGAGTAAACCCCAGGGCCGGAAGGATTAGGTCAATTGAAAAAAATTCAATTACCTCATCGGGATTTGAACCCGCAACCTTACTGTTCTTTATTTTTTCCTTTCCTTACAATAATGCCTATGCCAGCTACTGGTATCTTCACTTTCTCTCCTTCAGAATATGTAAATATATAGTCATCATCTCTTCAGTGCCTTTGGCTTTCTTGCTGGTTTCGGATACCACTAAAATCTCACTTTTCCTTATTTTAATCTGGTTTATTGCCACGGTGTTCCATGTGGTAGTTGTCACGTTTTCTAACAGAGCTCTCCTAGATTCAGTCATTATATTATTCACCACTGCATCTGCCCAATAGAATCCTCTAGACTTCTGAGAATCACAAATTCCTCCAAACATGTTAAGAGCATGTTGAAGGATAGATTCATAATGGGACTTCAATCTTCGAGTTGTACAATCCAACTCCTCATTGTATTATTACCTAACCAAGAAAGCTGCTTCCTCTGCTCACCCTGCCACTTAAGTTCTTCATTTCTTATCTTCGTGACCAATGTGGACTTGCCCCGAAACGTTTCAGCCGCTCCTCCCTGAAGTTCTGATACTGTTATTTCCCATCTCTAAGCAAATGCTACCTCCCAGAATCAGGAGTATGTGGAGCCTGCCTGCGCCAGGACGCCAATCCCTGAGATGTCGTTATTTCTAGAGAGGCGGCCCACGCTGGCTACCTTCATATCTATATAGAGCAGACAAGGATGATCAGATGGGCAGGGCATGTAACATGCATTGGAAATGAGTGCATATAGGGTTTTGGTAAGAAAACCTGAAAGAGACCACCAGGAAGACCTTAATGGAAGGATAGTATTCAAAAAGAGAGAAACTGGATTCATCTGGCTCAGGGAAGAGACCAGTGGCAGGTTCTTGTGAATATGGTAAAGGACCCTTGGGTTCCATAAAATGGTTAGAATTTCTTGCTGAGCAACTTTCGGCTTCTTAAGAAGGGCTCAGCTCTAAGGAGATAATTAGTATACGCAATTCATATACTGTAAATGTTCTTCAGGTTCGTGGTTTACACAGGATACATTACATGTGAACATGCACTTAATCAGAACACATGAGCCCAGTAAACTGAGGCTGGACCTTAACGCCTCTTGGCTGTTGTGATGTCCATAACACTTACGCGTAAGTAACAGCTTCTAGCAATAACACCAATCGGCACACTGTGTATGTGCTTCGTTATGGCAACTGTCGAAATGCTCTTGGATCAGACGCGAGAACATTCAAGCTTGAAGCAGACGACCTTCGCGTACCGTCTGCTAATGACATGCTCATGAGCCACCACGACCCATAACGTCTTCACGGGAGAATGAAGATAATAAAGTACAGTAATCCGTAATGTTATAAATTTAAATTATTGACCCTTACTGACCTTGAAAGGTTCACGGAAGTCGATTTCTTTAGTTTCCTTCAGGCCAAGTGGAATCATTGGCATGACAGGTTCAGTGCTGAAAACCAACAAGTAAGAATTATTTATTTTATACATAGTACCAGGAAAACAATCGAAAGTAACAGGATCACAGTTGTGATAAAAAGAGGCATTAGTCGCAAAGATCGTATATATTGAAACAGTTCACTAAACAAATTAACTGTGTGTGAAGCAGCCTAACTGGAAAATGTAAGAGAAATATAGATGAATATAATCAGATATATTTTAGTTCAAGAACTGACATCATCCTGTTTAGTTTGGTACAGAGAATAACGGTTTCCCCATTTTTTCTGCATGCGTGTGAAACGTAGCATATGACAGAAGAACGTAACACTAAATGATGAAATGAGTGAATGTAGTATATTAAATAACAACAACAAAAATCACAATTTATGCAGAATTTCTTTTTAATTTGCATAGTGGGGGGTGGAGTTCAGTGGGGTCCACTCGGCACGGCGGCCACTGATTGGCCTATTGTACCTGCCCCGATTGATTATGATGATGGAGAATTTGGTGGAATGAAGATTAGAAAGGGAAACCGAAGTAATCGGAGAAATCCCGCCCCAGCGCCACTTTGTCCACCACAAATTCCACTTGACCAGACCCGGGATCGACCCCGGGCCGCCGCGGTGGGAAGCCAGCGACTAACCGCTTGAGCTATGGCGCGGCTTCCTGCGTATTGGTGCTAGTACTAGATAAGGGGATTGGTCATCAGGATAAAATGAGACTCAAGTTTCTGTGTGCCTCCTTTCACCTATACACGTTACTGGGTCGTTCAAATACAGGGATAGCGGATTCCACTTCGTTTGGAGGTATGGATATGTGTCCGCGCTTCGGTTTTATTTCTGTGGTGTTCTGAAACTAAACCCAAAGAATCCTAGGCTTCCAGTAACACAGTGTCAAAGGTAGGGTGGCACGTGTGACGAAAATGACGGGTTCCAATTCGGATGATTGGGTTTATTAGCACCTTGGTTACAAATTCTCTTAATCACACTTAAACACAGCGCTATCGCTGATCCACACAATTTCCAGTTCACGTTGCATACGCACTAAGAATGTCCGTCTTCATTAGTCGTCTCCTAGCAACGGATCTCAACCCAGAAACTGCCACTTCAACTCACTATGAAGTCTTCTTGCTATTTCGTCATCAATCACTCTGGAACCACGGAGCAAAAAAAATTTTCCGGATTCACTCCTCCAGCTTACGGCTAACTCTGTCACTGCATACACTTCTCTTATAAACATTTTACACAGACCCCACGGAAAACACCGTCTCTATTGTTGGTGACGACACCGCTTATGTGGAAGTGTGTTTCCCGAGCCGTTGCTTAGAAATGGGTTGTATAACCATGTTTTTCCACCGCTGCTCCGCGCAGACGACATAGAAAACACAGTTTCATCTATTGATGCATGTTGGACCGTGTTTACAAAGCTGTTGACTGGGAGCGCGATCATCAACTCTGTTACAATAGATTTAGAAAGGCTGACACAGTTCCATCTCCACTGCCGAAGATAGTTCGACCGAACAGCATATAGTGTGTTGGATAGGAAATGAGAGACGAGCGAGAAAAAATGCCGCGAAAATAGCGTATGCTCTCTGTAGGTTAGAGTAATGCTATCATCAAATCATTTGTAAGTAAACTTCATCGTCCTATGTTTTACTTTTAAATTAAGTTCCATTTATCTGGACTGTTCCACATAAATTAGAGTGAATACAACATTCATACGATAGACATCCGTAACAAACACTATCTGTGCTTGCCGTCCTTCCGTTTGTTTTACGAATAGGAATATTTTCGAAACTACAGAAAGGCTCTCAACAAAGTTTGACTTTATTTTGGTCCACGTCAGTCAATTACAGGTATAGCTCCTACTATGTCAGGCGGGCAAATTCAACTTTATGAAAATAAAAAAGGTTCATCGTATTGTAATTGGTACACGTTATAACACTTTTAATTGGTAATAAAATAAAAGTAAGTAAAGGTATCCCTGTAACAGACCATGGAGGCCCATAAGGTTGTGAGATGTTGAGGTTCCCACATTTTCTAGACAATCGACTCATAGATGGCGGCAAGGTTGTCAGCCTTACGCACCGGCCGCCCTTTACCCCCAAGAATATTCCACGAATATTCCTGATACTCATTTCTGTTAGAAGCTGAGTCGACCCCAGGGCCATAATGGGGCTGGAAGGATTAGGTCAATTAAAAAAAAATCCAATGACCTCATCGGGACTCGAATCCGCGACCTTCTGGCTTGTAGCATAGTGCCTCATCCAACTACACTACCGCGTGCCCCTTTTTAATTGGTAATATTTAACAAAATATAGAAAGAATACAAGTTAATTCCCACTGTTGTCCTGTTGGTTGTCACGGAAATCTTGTGTTTAACAACTTGATACCTGCTGCTATTCGTTACAAGAGTAACTTGTTTTTGTTAATATTCGTTGCCGCGGAAACATGATTGCCGATCCGCCGCTCAGCAATGGACGTCTGCTCCAGCTACACCATTCCGGATTTCAGCCGTTATGTCACAATACTGTTATAGGTACACACATTGCTAGGCAACGGGTTGGTAAAAGAGTTCCCGCGAAGACAGATTCTGGTAAACAGTCCGCTGCTATGTCACGCAACAATAAAACGAATGTTTATAGCTCGTTGCTAGGCAACAATCACCGCACCAATGGACTGGTGAGAAATCTATCATGTGGCTTGTTTTCAATGTGGTCCACGCTGTTCCCAGTTCTAAGCAACAGAACCGTAAACACGTCTACAATAATATGAATTTTCCTTGGAGTCCGTGCCAAAGGTTTATAGGAGACAGTGAAGGCCGTTTAAAGTCAGTCATAGTTGAGAAGCCGTGAGTCAAGGAGACGAAGCCGTCACGGAAAGGGAGTCCAGTAGGCTTCAACAGTTGAGAGTATTAGGACTAGAATGGAGCGTGTACTTAATGAATTGTGAATATTAATTGAGTACAATTAGGACAGAAGAGTACAGAGTAACTGAAGACGAAATAATAAGACGACCTCCTACTGATTTGAAATGCTAGTTTCTGTGTTGAGATCCGTTGCCAGGAGACGACTAGTGAAGACAGAGAATCCTAGTGCGTGTGCAACGGTGAACTGTAAATAATGTAAATCAACAATAACGCTGTATTAACTGTAATTAAGATACAGATTGTAGTCGAAGAGCTAATAAACCCGATCATCCGAACTAGAACCCCTTATTTTCGTCACGCGTACCACCTACACGTGACAATATTATAAATGTATTCTGATATCATTGTGATGTTCTATATTCTGAATACAAAATTTGAAAAAAAATGCGTATATTCTTCAAAGATTTTTACAATACACAATTCCAGGCCCTAGATAATGGATCACTAGTACTGCTCCCACCCCAAAGGTTCAGGCGTTCCAAGATGAGTATATTGCCAATTAAATAGCAGAAACGACGTTGGAGCGGTCTGAAATGGATGTCCACACTAAACTTAGTATAAATCAGTCAATTAATTCAAAGTTGGAAGGAGGGTACACAAACAAATAAATAAATGAACAAACAAACACACACAAAGAAAGCATGATGATCTCACAAACCTACCTGCTTTCACTAAGAAATTAGGTAAATTTCTGTCCTGGCATAATTCAGTTAAAAAATTAAAGTCTCTTGATGCAGGGACCACCGGTTTTCGGCATAATTTATTTCTGGGTCCGTGCGATGGCAGCAGTCACATGTTTTAAGGCACACCATGAAATGAAGCCACAGACATGACACAATTTCATTCTCACCAAAAATAATCTGCAGTACTTGAGAACAGGCATTAGAGACTGGCCGAATTTATATTCCAACCTGACTGAGATCAGACGGAGAAAACGTTAACAAAAGTAGATAAAGAGGAATTACTTTTTTAGGATTGTTAGTGGGTACCTGTCGAAACACAAAGAGAAGTCACTCCCGATCAAAACTCGGATGTTTTTATAGAAGCTTAGAGAGTGTCTGATTTAAGTTTCCATGTGGTGGATTAATTATTCACATACATTTGTTTGTATAAATGTTAATTTTATGGAAGGAATAGCTCAGTCACTGCACACACTGGTTGCGACCTGGACGACCGGGGTTTGATTCCGGGCAGGAGGAAAGATTCTCTTTGGCACACATCAAGATCGGCTGCGTTCCGACCAGTCTCCTACTCAATGAATTTCGGGGGATATTGCCTCGTGGATAAAGCGACCTTGGAGTGAAACTGGCTCACCTTCTCTACTGCCGATATTCATAATGCATGGAGCTATATTTACCGTAGGGCCACGCCATAGCTCAAGCGGTTAGTCGCTGGCTTCCCACCGCGGCGGCCTGGGTTCGATCCCGGCTCTGGTCAAGTGCGATTTGTGGTGGAAAAAGTGGCGCTGGGGCGGGTTTTCTCCGAGTACTTCGGTTTCCCCTGCCAATCTTCATTCCACCAAATTCTCCATCACCATTATCACCCGGGCAGGTTACAACAGACCAATCAGTGGCCGCCGTGCCGAGTGGACACAGTTGGACTATATACCTACGGTTATATGGCTCGTTGCTTAACTAATAGGACAAACATCTCACCTGTCATTTTGGTAGAGCTCCACTGAACCGTTCAGTTCTGCGAGCTGTTCCTTGAGAAGCTGAAGATTAGAGTTGACGAAACTCAACTCCAAAGCCACTGTTTCCTTCAGTTTTCTGTTTGTAGTCGCTCTGGAAAGATAATACAAGCAAAAACACATGAGACTCGTGACAGACATGTACAATAAAATTGACTCGAATGCGTGAAATAATTTATAGACAATCTTTGAATGGAGAACCCAGAAGGGAAAACATAATTTGGAAGAATAAGTAGTGAGGTTAACATTCATACACATTTCATGAAATACGACGTGATAATATGCATTGGATTCATACAGCTCTGTATATGGACCAGTTGGGAATCCTTGGAACAACGTAATGAAACAATGAAAGAAGGATAATTCGATAATTCCTTAACTAGTTTTGTGACCATTCGATTCGAAAGGAAAACGTTGCTCCATTTAGCTAGTTAAATATTATTCTGGTCTTAACAATTAATAGTACACTCACTTCTGCTTAGCTGAATAATATTTCAGTCATAAGAATGTTATGGTATTCAGCTGAAGGATGAACAGCCGTGGACTTAAGTTGGGAATTCAGTGGATTCGTCATTAAAGCACGCATTCGACCAAGAATTCGTCATTTACATTTTTCTCATGTGTTCCTGCAAGGCCGTAAAGTTTAATTGTCCGTGCAATGAAGTTGTTTGGATCATCATCTGTTGCTGAAAAGCAATACCAGGGCGGGGTCGCCATCATACCTTCACGTTGCAAGACAAAGCCTGATGGGGGAGGGCTTAGACGAAACAAAGAAGAGTAATATTCCGATACACGGCAGTACTACAAACAAACAAAGAAAAAACTCCATGATTTCAGTCAGCAAGCGAACTATACCGACCGAGCGACCGCCGCTTCTCGGCGAAGTTTAGTGCCAAATTTGCGGAAAGCGGGTGTCACGTGGTCAGCGCAACGAATCCCCACGGCCGTTAATTTCGGTTTTCTAGACCGGAGCCGCTATTTACTTGAAGTAGCTCTTCAGTTATCATCACGAGGCTGAGTGGACCACGTTCCAGACCCACTACTTCTCCGAAAAAAATCTGAAAACGCGGGGAATCGAACCCGGACCTCTGGATCTGTAGCCAGGAACGTTGACCACACATGCTTTATATACATAAACAGGCGACTTTCAGACGGAGAAATCGTGGAGCAGTACAAAACAAAGTAAATAATATAAGAATTATGGAGAATATTATCTTCTTGGATATGACTTCGTGTAATCCGTTGAAAGTCAACCGACGTTTGGGAGGAACATATCGCCTCCGCCTTTATGATGTAATAAGCCAAGCAAAACACCAGCGTGAAAGCAGATCTGAGAATAACACTGAGGGGGCAAAAGAGTGAGAAGACACCCACTGCATGCAACATCGCTTCCGTCGTCAGTGTTCTTCAGGCACACCCAGAGTAATAAATTGTACTACTAACAAAAAGATACTGATACAACACAGCATTATTCCCCGTATTTCTATATATATCAAAAGTATCTCATATAAGGCTCAACAAAATTTCTGGGAAGACTTAATCGCCTGCGTTCCTTTCACTAAAATTAGAGTTTCTGTTACAAGCAAAAAGAAAAATAGCTCTTCAGTACGTATGCCTAGTAAAGTCAATAAAACAATACAGATGAAAAGGCTGCAGTGCTGGTACTACTTATGAGGCAGCTAAATGAAGTACGTCGTCAAGATGGCCATAGATGGGATGATAAGCATACCGAGTTTCACTACGATCGGCTCAGACATTCAAAAGTTGATGGGTTTGGGGGGAGGGGTGAACACAGAGACACAAGGAAGCAGATACAGAGCTGTAAGGTGATCTCATAAGCCTACTTCCATTTCTAGTTTCGAAAGTGAGGAAAATAATTTTAAAATTAGGTGTACAATTCATGCCTCTTTTAGAGCGGGTCGGCTGTGAAAAATTTGACAAATGCTGATGTGAACTTGCGCAAACAAGAAGTTTACTTCAGATTCGAAGGGACCATAACGAAATCATTCCAACAGATTTTAGTACGAAACCCCCAATATGGATAGAAACGGTGCAAAAGGGAGGACGGACACTCTCGCCCTCCTCACCGCTGGTTTAGCGTACACCATGCATTGCATGCAAGGACTTAGGGCAGGGGAAACAGGATGCATGTATTCAAAGTGAGCAGTTCTGCTGCACTACTAAGTTCTTCCACGGAACTTCGGGAGCAGTATTTTCCACATGTCACGGACATGTATCATAGTTCATAATCACAATTCCTTCATATGTTCATCTGTATTGTTAAATAAGCGTGCAAGCAAAACCAAAAAAGCTATCAGTAAAAAGTCAGCACTTTTCGGTGTCTAGTATTTATTAAAAATCCACTAAACGATTAACTTATATTGTTAATCTTACGGCGGTACATATCTCAAACGTTAACTGCTGAACTCCTGTTGCTCGTTCTTAGTCTTACTGACAGTTTCCTCTGCCATAATTTCTTGTATATGTGGTGAAAAATGTAATTTAAAGAATACAGAGGAGGTTTGACGCTAGAAAAAAGGATGTCTAAGGACTTACGAGATATGCAATTTTGTGTCAAAATTCAAAATAGGACAAATACGTAATAGCATACACAAACAAAGCAATGAACAGCACAAACATCTGTTAAAGGGCCCAGTAAAAAAATAAATACTTAAATAACGGTTGCCTGGTGAAATTATCATATGGATTTTTCTTCTGGTTTTGCTGGAGCTACATGGCAAGCGATAAAAACGATAAAAACAGCGATTCGGATCAGCAGTAATCACCGATAAGGGGGAAAGGTAATCTTGCACCTTTTGTGTTACTGTGTGCTACGAGGAACCTACGTTCACTTGCCTTTCCCTAAATCAGACTCAATGCATATACTGTAATGTACATCACTTCGGAACGAATATCGGCAGTCCCAAGAACCTTCAGACATTTGCATACGTCTCACATTAAGTCCTCTATCACAAACTTCCATGGCTCTTTCACGCAGAGAGAAAAATCGAAAATATGCAGTCCTACATTCCTACAGTCCTAACGTCGCCTGTCTTATTCGGTAAGGACAGTAAGCCTAGGATTGGGGCGCGCCATAGCTCAAGCGGTTAGTCCCTGGCTTCCCACCGCGGCGGCCCGGGTTCGATCCCGGATCTGGTTAAGTGGGATTTGTGGTGTACAAAGTGGCGTTGGGGCAGGTTTTCTCCGAGTACTTCGGTTTCCCTTGCCAATATTCATTCCACTAATTGGTCCATAATCATCCTCACCTATTATCTGGGGCTGGTACAACAGGCCAGAAATGGCAGCAGTACAAGGGACTTAGTCCCACCCCACTAGCAATAACCATGGAAATTAACTGAATGCGACATCTGTTATACACGCTGGTAAGGTGAATCATGACAAAGTAATAGCAAAGATCAAACTGAATAAAAAAGGTCTTAGTGTAAGAAGGCCGCACCATAGTTCAAGCGGTTAGTCGCTGGCTTCCCACCGCGGTGGCCCGGGTTCGATCCCGGGTCTGGTCAAGTGGGATTTGTGGTGGACAAAGTGGCGCTGGGGCGAGCTTTCTCCGTGTACTTCGGTTTCCCTTGCCAATCTTCATTCCACCAAATTCTCCATCATCATAATCACCCGGGGCAAGCTACAATAGGCCAATTAGTGGCCGCCGTGCCGAGTGGACGCAGTTGGACTCCACCCCCCCACTAAGCGAATTAAAAAAAAAAGAATTAGTGTAAAGGAGGACAGATGGCATGTGTACATTCTATACGCCATAAAAAAAATCCTATAGATTCCTTAAACAGCGTTGTGATTCTATTGCGATGATGATATAGAATAATTACACCCTAGTTTTACAGAAATTCAAGTTTGTAATTCTTTCTAATATATTTAACTTACACTGAACAACCCGACTAATGAAATGCGCATAACTCCATTACAACAAGAATTAAATCATGGAATCTTTCTCGTAAGTTAATTTCAGAACTAACTTAGAAAGGGACTCCGCTTTGCGAACTAACAATCCAATTATAACATAAGTACTGTAAATAAAAAAATGTCGGTTTCAACAAGCTCTTAGAAATATTTTTAATGAAAAGGTCACAGCTGATGATATACCACTGTTTGGAAGATCCACCTACCGGTGCAATTAGTACTACCATGAAAAAACGCGTGCTTCGCTCCGTTGGCGCACTGTGTTACCACAGTCCCTCACAGAACCATAACGAGATACACAGGCTGAGTTTTGAAAGTATTAAAATTGTTACTGGCATTCATGGTCACGATACCAAGGAGCTCCGAGCCCTAGTCGCTTCGTTCCTACATAAAAAGCTCTAATACCAATTAGACACAGGAAGGTGGATCCCAGAGCCACACTGATGAAGAGAACAATCCCAACAACTCCCAGGTAATTAAGTCCGGTTATCCATCCCGTAGACAGTTACTTTACCTACCGAGCTACTACTCCTGATGGTCGTATTATGTTCGCTTCAAGCATATGAGTGCTTTGTGAGAGCTTGGTTATAAATGTATTGGATTTAACATCTGCCGTCGAGAGTTGTATCAGTTCTGTAGCCTGGAACTGTATCATAAGAAATGCAACTATTTTTGTGTGGAAAAGGAAGTACTACTAATTCTCTACAATTTCGTTGCCTTAGCAATAAAGCCCTAAATTGCACGCGAAAAGACGTTTGGCTAACATCCTCGTCTGAGAACTTCTTATTCGTCCCGCCATATTTCATCATGTAGTCATTTCTGATTTCATGTATATAAACTGAGCAACGTATAATGACCAGCAATTCAGTACGTAAAATTTAGCTGCACCCTAATATTCACATTAAGGGGCGTAACCCAACAGGTCATAAGGTCAACGCGGTCACTCACTCCACAGGTTTTCCAGTTTTTTCTCACTAATCAATCAATCAAGCAATGTAGCTAAACCTTCCTTAGACAGGTAACATTTATGGATTTCCTGTTGCGGAACACGAAGACTCAGGGACAGAGTCGCCCAGAAACAGGAACCATAGCAGCGTGCGCAACTGGTCAGAAATGTCGCCCGTCTTGGTCATTACACAACAGAATGAAATATGAGGGTTCCTA